ACATGGCAGTTCTGCTCCGTCCTGTCAACCGCACGCTCCTGGCAGATTCCATCCCAAGCTGAGCCTGTCAGCGGTGCGGGCCTTGCTGTACCCGCGCCGCGCTCCCCAGGTGCCCCCTCCGCGGGGGGACGGCGCTGCCCACCGTGGTCCGCACAGCAGCGAGCGTGTCTAGACTGGGGCTGTTACTGTGAAGGCAGCAGCGACAGACAGGCACGCAGTGGCAGTGAGCAGTCTGTGGGAGAGCAGATGCCGATAGGAGTCCTGGCGTTTCAAAGTCTAGACTGAACTGGCAAAAGCCACACCGAGCTTGACCTACAGGGAAGAGTGGCTTTTTATTCTTTGAAGGCTTGTGCAGAATGTTTGCTCTTGCCAAAACCTCAGGGCCTTATGTTTTTGTATCCGTTTTTTCCCCCCCAGATAGGTTCTCACTGTGTAGTTCAGACTGACCCTAACCTGTGTAGCCCAGGCTGGCCTTGAACTCCGCGACCCTCTTGAGGGCTAGGATGACAGGTATGTGCCCCCACACCCTGCAGGTTATTCATTTAAAAGCACAAATTCTCTCATTGAAGCTTATGGAATCAATTCCAATGAAACGTGTATTACTTCCTTTAGAAGCTACCGCTCACGCACACTGCTGAAACCACAACTGCAAAAGCCATTTTCCACCAGGATGGGAGCCAGATGTGCCCTTAAGTTTTATCTTAGGCCCTTAGAACAGCGATTTGGCCAAGGGGGCGTGGCACGAGGGTGAGGAGGGCACTGAGGGATGTGCCGTGTCTGGGGCTTGGCTTCTGCCTGCGAGGGCAGCCGCTTCGCTAGGTAACTGAGCAATCTGGGCTTTGTTCCTTCCCATTTCTCTCTGTGAGGATTCCTACCATATATCCCACCATGTTATCCAAGAGTCCAATTTCATACCAATGTACAAATTTAGGGGCTGGTGAGATAGCTTAGTGGGATAAAGTGCCTGCTTAGGCAACTTAGGCAAGCGCAGGGACAGTGGTTCGATTCCCAGCATCGCATGCCGCGCCAGCCCTGCCCCCAGCCATAGAGACCGGGTGTAGTGGTGCATGCCTGTAATCCCAGCGCTGGAGAGGCTAAAATCAGGAGGATCACTATGAGTCCAAGCTGTGTAGTGAGACCCTGTAACAACCAAATACATTAAAAAAAAAAAAAGTACAAATTTATAAATAAAAAGCCATGAGAGTGTGTGCTGGACAGTTCTCACCAGAGAATGATGACAATTCTGGTTATACGTCCCTGTAAAATGATACGAACTAGAATCTGAGATGTAAAAGAACAAGGCAGGAATGTCTACAGGTCTCTGCAAGCAGGCGATCACTTAACTGTGTAGAACCTTTTAGGCTGGGGACATAGCTCGGTGGCAGTTACATAGCACACATGACATCTTGATTTGATCCCCAGAACATGGAAAACTATTGTTAGCAGCTGGGAGGAAATACCTGCTTTTCTATCCCAGCTCTCCTTTGCGTTCCTCTCTCCACTCCAGTAACTTACCCAAAGCAAAAGGACTTTATCCTGCATGCAAATTAGAATCAAAGCAAGGACCGCATGTGAGGCCAGGCTGAGCCCGGTACAGCTAGAGACAACAGGATTGAAAAAAAAAAAAAGGACACAGCCCACGCCAAGAAAGCATTTCTAAAAGCTACTAGAAATTGGAAGGGGTTAGGCTTGCTTTGGGCTTCTTTGTGGGTTGATTGACTGCATATTTTGGATGCGATCACGTGAAGGCTTGAAGAGCTAGCTGCTGACTGTCCTGGCTTTATCTACCCCTCCTTGGGGGCTCCAAACAGCAGAGGAAGCTGCGCGCTTCCCTCCAAGGAGACCTCCGCAGAGAGTGGCACACACAGGCCACGAGAGGGCGCAGCACCTGCGCCGGCAGGCTGCACAGCGGGCAGCAGCAACCCCGCTTGGTGGTAAGGTGCTGGGACCGCAGGATCCAGGGCCGGGGGCTGGGCCATGTGCAGCTCAGCGGCACAAGCGCCTGCCTGGCAGGTGCAGGGTCTGACTTTGATTCCTTGTACCAAAAAAGAAAGAAAAAGTGCCTGCTAGAATCCATGACATGTCATGTGGGAAAAAACTGGTACATGAAGCTGCTGTCTCTGAGGTGTTAAGGCAAAGACAGTGTAATGGCTTCGAAATCCTGCTGCACTGTTGACACTGGAAGCCACAAGCCCGCAGAGTCCACTTTACACTACTCTCCCGCCAGCACGGTCCCTAAGAATCCCAGCCCTCACACGCACGCAGTGAGGGTCACGGCGGTGCGCACACCAAGAGAACTCGAGCAAGAATTTATTTCTTAAAGTTACCTGAAGGATTAAAACCAGTATCAAGTAAAACACTGGTGGCAACATGAGCATCGTGTCAACATCAAGATGACAGCTGTGGTGACACTTAGCGCACGCAAGTCACTGCGCAGGCAAGAGGACATAAACACCACCGTCTTCGCAATGAAGGCAGATGGGTGGAGTAAAGAGGCCAGGGCGGGCGAGGCCGGCGGGGAGGGGACAGGACCCCCGTCGGATGCCATCTCTGCACGTCGTGCTAGCGGACTGTAGAGGGTCTTCTCACACATCCCACTTTGGTATTAATGTGACAGCACAGCGATGTGTCGTTACCGGACAAGCTGACATCCGAGGGATGAAGATGCCACCGCCGGCCTTCAGTCTGTTCTCATCATGACCCATCAGCGGCAGGGACAGCCGGGTCATGAAAGCAGACCGACCCGTTTGAAGGAGCAGCCGGCTGGAAAAGACATTGAAACAAGGACTCACAGAAGAGCTCTCCCGGAGCTGCCACTTCCTCATCCTTCACGCGATGTATACTGGACTACGAACTGCACACGCTTACGGCAGCAGGTGGGATGGGAAGAGTAATTCAAAAACTCTAGAAAATTTGCTTTTGATGTACACCTGAATTGTTTACCAGTGAAAAAGAGCAGGCCACTAAGCCCCAGCCCCTGAGGAGCAGGCCGCAAGCGTGCCGGGCTCGGAGGACGCGGGCAGCGCTCGGTCAGCGGCTGCCCCTGAAGCCCTCGCCAGTCTTGGCTTCTCGTTCTCAGGAGAGTTGAAATCATGTTCTTTAAAAGTAGTCCTGTTCAGTCCCCGGTTCCACAAAAAACAAACAAACAAACAAAAAAAACAAAAAAACAAACAAAAAAACAGTCCTGACTTGGGTAACATAATCTAACAGTGAACACTGCAGTAGAAAGCTGTTTCAGTAATTTTAAAACAATTTAAGTTTTATGTAGCTTACTTTTTTCTCTTTGCTTCCCGTGCGGGGGATTGAACGCAGGACCCTGCGCTTGCCAGGCAAGCATTCTACTGAGCTATCTCCCCACCCCTCACCCCCTTTTTTGGTAGCTTATTACCTTATTTGTACGTGTGGGGGGGGGCAGCTCAGCCCACCAGGGGGCGGGGCCGGCTGGCATGTGGTGCTGGGGAATTGAACCACCGTCCCTTTGCTTTGCTAAGCTTGTTCTAAGTAGGTGCTTTAGACCACTGAGCCATCTCACCAGCCCAAAGACTTTTTTTTTTAATTTTATTTTATTTCGTGTGTGTGTGTGTGTGTGTGTGTGTGGCCAGCTCAGCCCACCAGGGGGCGGGGCTGGATGGCATGTGGTGCTGGGGATTGAACCCCCGACCCTGTGCTTTGCTAACCTTGTTCTAAGTAGGTCTTTAGACCACTGAGCCATCTCGCCAGCCCTGGTAGCTTATTACTTTGACATTTTACTCAACTCACCAAAACAAAACTTTTGCAACCGCAATCTTGGGAATTCTACATGTAAAGAGTTTTACTTTTATGGGGTGGCTGGCTCGCCCGCCCGGGGCAGGGCTGGCACGCACGTGGTGCTGGGCACTGACCCGGTCCCGAGCTTGCCTAAGAAGGTGCTTCAGATGGCTGAGCTGTCTCGCCGGCCCAAAACTTTTACATTTTATGTTATGGTTTTAACTAAGAATGTAGAAAAAAGACAGCTTTAAAAACTGTATTTGCCTGGCTTCTCTTTATTCTCAGAACTATTTTTGATGTTCACATGAGCTCTGACAAAAGCTGTCTTCTCAGCATGCGCCTCCTTGAAGTTCTACTTTCACAGGAAGAGCTCGCGGGTTCCTGGGTGCCTCGTGGGTGAGACCTGTCAACAAGGCTGAGGGACAGGGGACAGCAGCCAGAAACTGGCGCCTGCACTTCTAGCCGCTTCCACCCGTGTCGGTACGTCCCGAGTACTGATTCATGCTAAGAAGGATCACAAATTGAGATTTTGTAAAAGAAGGCGTGAAGTTCTGTAGCTTTCTAATAGCTACTCAGCACTACTGTTCATGAGCGATGCGGTCAGGACACCAAAGACACCAGGAACTGAGGGTCAAATACCAAGAGTGACGCGTGCGACATTTGTTGGATCTTTTCCCCTAATTCTAAAGGGGAGAACTGCATGAAAAGCAGTGAATTAGCTTTGGTCACAAAAAGGCCGTTTTCTAATGTGCTAGCGCTGCTTTAAGCCAAATTTTTTAGACACTAGAGAGTAATAAATCCACTGACTTTATTGACTAATTTTTATGCAAATCAGATGTTTCTCTGCATACCTAAAATACAACACACATGCATCAAAACACATTATTCTAAAACATGCTCTATGAAAGGAACTGCAGTTAAAACTTTTTTTTTTTTTCCTTTCAGGGTAAAAATACACATATGAAGGGCTCCACTCCGTACTTCCTAAAAGGAGCCTCGCACCGTCACCACGCGGCCCCTTGCTGCGCGGGGGCTGTGGGGTGTGGCCGTTTTCTGCGCTTTTCGCGTGTGGAGGGGCGGTGCGGGGCGGGGGGGGGGGGGGGGGGGGGGGTGGTGTTGTTCTCTGCACACGCTCAAGTCCTGAGGTCACAGTTTACAGCGCCCCCACGTGGCCGAACATCACACGACACCATGCTTCACAATACTGATGAGGAAGTTGTAACCAAAACCAGTACAATACCATGACTACTTACTTTGAGAAAAGGAAAATTTAATAGTACAATGTTCCTGACGAACAGCCACATAGCAAGACAAACCCAGTCGGGACGCGGACGGCGGCGCCGCCCTTATGTGTAGTGTGAGTTCGGGTTCCCTACCCCGCCTGACCTCCTGTCTTACTTCCCGCCTTCACTTCTGGTCCTGTCATTTCACCGGGGTAATGCTGGCTTTTGCCTAAAGCAGGAAGCAGGATCTATTAGGACAAAGCACTTACCATCTCACAATGATCATATTTGAGATAGAACTCAGGAAAGTATTTAGGCATTATGCAAATGTAAGACTACAAATAAGAAAATATAACAAGAAGTCTAATCTGAACAATATTCTAAGAGTAAAAAGTAGAATATTTCAACTATAAATGCATATCAATTTTCTTAGCCTTTTTAATAACCTAGAAATTACTTTAAGTCTGCTTGTTTTCTAAAATTCAAAATATATGAGAAAAATCTGTTTCCTCTGAATTCCCTTGGTGGTAGCTGTCAATCATTAATGATGTGTGACAATTTCTTTTACTTGGTGTCTGTCTTTTGTCCATGTCACATGTGATAGGGGATGGCATAAATGCATTAGCAATTTTAGTGCTAAACCCTAGAAGTCTGGCCCACCTCTGCCCTGAAGAGAGTCAATGGGAGGAGGATTACGCTAATACGCAGATGTGCTGGGCGGGCAGCGCACACCTGCGGTCCCCCCACTAAGGTGGCTGCGCAGATGACTGGGCCCCTGGGGACAGGGCCACCAGGCAGCACGCGGCAGCTTATCTCAAAGAAAATCAAACGAAAAGCAAAGACCCCTTTAGGTAAAAGGATCACTGGCTGTGAAAATTATACCAGTATGTGTATTTGGGGGTTTTTTGTTTTGGGGAAAAGTGTCCTCTAAGTTTGCTACAAATACCTAACTAAAAAAGAAAAACTTCAACCCTGGCATTCTGAAAAGCATATTCAATTAAAATACACTATGATGACATACTGGCATAAAGTGCTTTTCCACCAAATCTTCTGAAGTCCTAACAAAGGTTGATGATGTTCATATATGTACACATACGTACATGTATGTAGAGGAGAAAGCCTTTACAAAGAGCAATTTTAAAATGCTCAGGGGAGCTCATGGGGTCCGTCACAGCAGCTCTCAGCAGGGCACTCTGCTGAATTTGTGAGGAGCTTCCAAGTTGTCAATAATAAAAAGTGAACTTAAAAAAACTTAGTGAAATTTTAAAAATTACATATTAAAAAATGAGTATAGTCTGCCAAGCTAAAGCTCTTAACGTCCTCTTCTTAGGAGCAAGTGGCAGGTGCGTTTTTAAACTAGAAATGCACCTGCCATCACCATTGCTTTGTGTCAGACCTCAAAAGCTAGGCTCAGGTATGAAGGCCTCCAGGCCTCTCAGAAACTTTATACGGGCAGCTGAAGTGGAGGATCCAGGTCTTGCTACTCTATATTTTTTTAATTAACCATCCCCAACACACTTTTCAATGATTAATTAAAAACCAGTATAGGTGCGTGAAGTATGGCATATCACTGGTCCTTACTTAAGTAACTTCTGTCTTCTACATAGGAAAACACAAGTTTTTACTTTATAATTGCAGATGAGCCGATTTTCTTCAGTGCAAACATCCAGAAAGAACAAAAAATTGTTCAGTACTCAGAGGATAAAGTCAGTTTCTGTAGTGCTGACAGTGCAACCCCAGATACCCAGGAATGGAAACAGCCCAGGTGAGACTGTACCCTTCAGGGCAAAGGACCATCTTCCGGGAGTGAAGAGCATTTTTATCTGAGATCACAGACAGAATCTTTTAGCTTCACGGGTACTGCTGAAGGAGGAGGAGGAGGAGGAGGAGGAACTAGTCCTTCACTGGGGCATGTAGCCGCCTGGCCTGACAGTCTGCGGAAGGTAGCTCTTCGGCATCCCGTCCTCCGCGGCGGCCTCCAGGCTCTCCACCTGTGCCTCAGTCTCGGTGCCAAGGGCACCTGATGCAGAAACTCCCTGAAACACTTTCATCTGCTCAGCCCCGCAGGCCTGTGAAACAGGACCTGGAATCTGCTGCTGTTTAAGTCTAAGAAAATCTTCCTCACTGCTCGAAGCAACTTGCTTTGACCTTTCACAATGTGAACTATCTGGACTGGTTTTAGGCTGAGTGCAGTTCTGCCTGAAGTACTGCTGCTGAGGCAGAAGACCACCCCCGCCGTCTCCACTGTCCATCAGCTGCAGGTCTTCTGGCCGCTCCTCCGAATCCAGCAAGGGCTGGGTGGACTCGGACCTCGAGAAGACCTGTACCGACGGGACCTGGTGCCGGTAGCCGCTGTGCACCACGGTAGAATACTGGACCGTGCTCGCGGTGTTCTGCGCAGACTCGTTCTCGTCCCCGCTGGAAATGCTTGGCCTCGAGGAGGACATGCACGAAGACCCTCCGATGCCACTGCTGTGCCCTTCGGCACTGGTTTTCTCCTTCTTGAATAGGTCTAAGGATTTCAGGTCTTCTGGAAAAGGCTTTTTGTCATTTGCTTCTATTTCTACAACACTTACATCAGTGAAATTGCCATCTGAATACATTTGATCTTTTGAATTAAAATTGTGCTAGGGGAGAGAGAAAATGGATTGTTACCTATGACACATAATAATGTAAAAGTTTGAGTTAATTAACGCATCTCTGAAATTTAGTGGTGTGGTAATGTCACTAAACCACTGTAAATTACCTATTAGAAAATATAATGTAGAATGGGCAAAAGAGCCTGTCAGAATCAGTCTGTAATTGCCTAGAATTTCCAAATCAATAGTTTGTGAATAGACTAAAGGGCTACAAATAGTTTTAAGCTGAGCGACGCGGTGCACACCATGCTCCCAGCATCAGGAGGCTGAGGCAGAAGGATCACCACGGGCTGGAGACCAGGCTGGGTGACATGCTGAGCTCAAGGCTAGCCTGAGCTACACAGGAGACCCTGTTTCTAAACAAACAAAAAGGATTATTTCATGCCTCTACTAGGCATCACAGAGTTAACTGGCTATGAAAACAATGACTGAAACCTTATAGAATTTGAAAATCAGGAACACCTTCTTAATTCTTATTCTGTTAATATAAAATTGAAAGAAATTTGAGGATAATAAATACAAATGATTTCTTCCCCTTTGAGGTATGTTTTAAATTTGAAGTGCTCAGTGTAAGTTTTCCAAAAATCACTTTAACTGTTAAAATGGTAAACTGTTAAACCAGGTTTTAATCAGCAATCCAATTCAAAATGTTTAAATAATAGTTACCATTATGTAGCATTTTAGCACTTGAAACTTGCAGTTTGCCCACAGTTGTGATGTTTACTGAGTAGGATTAGGAATATCACACAAATATACTATGACGATAGGTATTATTTTTAATTCTGATGGTCATTTTCATCTATGTGTTATTTTATTTTCATTTACTTTTTGATTCGTCCTGAGTCTTTTGGATGAGCTCTGTAAGTAAACCCTGCTATGCCTGGACACTACGAAGCCCGCAGAAGCGGCTGCACTTACCCGTGGAGGCGTGTGAGGTGACCACTGGGCGATGTGACTCTTTGAAGGGTCTGGAACATTAGGCCAGATGTGCTTCTTAATTCTGGAGCAAGAAGAAACATTTAGAAACAGTTCCTGTTTCTAAACAGTCCATCTATGAATCTTAAAAACCAAACCAATTAACCAAAAGAACACAAAAAACCCTATTCTATCCAAAGCCAAACAAAAACTCTGTCCCCCAACAATTTCAGTATAGCACCTCCTCAACAAAAACAAAAATCTTTAATTGCCAATTACAATTACCTAGATAACAGAAATGACACTGATCCCAAAATACGACGCATTTTATTTTTTGCAATAAGGAAAGGTGTATTGATGTACATAAGACACAGTTTAATTAAATGAAAAGGACAGTGCAGAAACAGATCACATGGATATGATAATTGATGTTAAGCGAAAAATGCTAAGATAATTCAACAGTAAAAAGGCGGTCTTTTCAAAATAAATAATGTTAGAATTAGGTATTTGTGGGGTGAAAAAGTCTTGGCCCCGATCTCACATCATATACAAAAATTAATTTGGGGGAACCACAGATGTACCTTAAAATCTACGAACTTTTATGAAAAACTACTGAACACGTAAGCTGGGCGTGGTGGTGCAGCCTGTTACGCCAGCAACCAGGAGCCTGAGGCAGGAGGATCACTGCAAGCTCAAGGCTAGCCTGGGCTACACCACGAGTTCAGGGTCACTATGAATTCAATAGCAAGATCCAGTCTCAACACAACAAAATCACCAGAACACCTCCCTACTGAGCCTCCAGAGCAAAACAGGAGAAAATATTTCTGACACTGCATTAGGCGCAATACCTTAAACAAGACACAACACAAAGGAACTACAAGAGGAAAATACTGGCAACTGGACTTCACACAAATGATAATGCACGAAGTGGGACAAAATTTGCAAAAATATAGTTGACTTGACAAAAATTCTGTAACAAGAGCATATAAAGGTGTTAACAGCTCCACATTAATAAACTACTCAGTGGAAAATGAGCAAAAGATTTCAACAGAGATACCACACACACACACACACACACACACACACACACACAAATGTGACACACGAAAAGATCTAATTAATCAGGGAAATGAAAATTACAACTACAATGAGTTCTATACACTCACTTTTAGAAAAGTGAATGTATAGAAAAATCTCAAAAATGAAAAACTAGCAGTAGCAAGTGTAGGTGGTAATCAGAAAGAGCCACTCAAAAAGCTCGGGAGTTCTTACAAAGTTAAACATTCACTCATCGTATGACCCAGCACTCCTAATCCTAGGTATTTATTCAGGATAAACGAAACGTATGCCCATAAAAAGTTTTGTATGTGAATGTTCATTGCAACATTATACACAACAGAAAAAAATTAGAAAAATACCTAAACTTCTACAACTAATTGAAACTTCCAGACCCATCAATTTCAATTAAGTGATGAACTATAGAATATTATTCTATAGTTTAAAAAAATTAGTATAAGCAACAATATAATAAATCTTGAAAATACTCTGCTAAGTAAAAAAATATACACAGAATACTATATGCTACTTGATTCCATGTATACCACATTATAGGTAAGACAAAAGTGCAGTTCTAGAAAGGTCCTAACTGCCTGGGGCTAAGCGCTGGGGAGCGGACTGAGGACAGAAAGCAATGCAGGAGTTCTCTAGGTGGAGGGATGCTGTGCATCTCCACCGAGGGGCGCACTCACAATGGCCAAATCCAAACTCTAGCCCTGAATTTTATTGTGTATAAATTATAACTGTGAAGTTAAGAAAAATGCAAAAAATATGAACGAGTACTTACAGATCTCGCTTATTAAAGCAGAACAATACACCTAGAAGAGTCGTCAACAGGAATGCTAAGCAAACAGGCACAACTATGGCTTCGATTTCTCCTTGAGCTAAAAAAGAGAGGTTCTGATGAGAAATAACTGACATGGATACAGAGGAGAAATAACACAAGTCTAATTTCATTTTCAGCCTTTTTCTCTTCTTCATAAATCAGATCCTACTCTTTCGTTGGTACCCAGTAACCCAGCCATAATAACCGTTAAGATACACCTGACCCTAATTCTAGCTACACTTAAAAAAAATCTTACTAATCCAGTGTCTCAGTAGCTGGGATGGCCAAAGGGGCAGGCATTTTTCTAGTTAGCTTTGTTTCATCTAATTCTTTCCACATTTTTGGTGCTGAAAGCAGAACCACGGTTTCCCCAAAGCCCCCTGGGTAACTTTTCATTAACGTTCTATAGGACAAATGTATGCAGTATTATAGTCACGTACTATTCACTTAGTTTGTAAGTGACTTTATGTCCCATGAAGCTCAACAGAAATCAAGAGATCAGAACAATGCTTAGCAATAGGGCTTGGCAAATACTAATTCCTGAATGCTCAGGATCTCAAATTCAGAATGCCAAATCTCATTTACGCAGAGGCTATCTTCTTCTTCTTCTTTTTGGTGGAACCAGGGATTGACTCAGGCCCTTGCACTTGCCGGGGAAGCGCTTATGCTACTGAGCCATCTCCCGGCCCCATCCTCTTTTGTTGCTAAGCTTCACTTTATGTTTCCATGCACTGTGCCCTCACTCGGGCCACTCTGTCTTTTTTCCTTTGTCCCTATTTGTCTCCATCCTAACTTTAAGGCTCTGGCACACACCTTTCTCATCTTTTTATTACTTATATACTACCCAACCGCTTCTCCAGTTCTACTTACTCTGCCTATATTCCTACAACAAAGCTCTAAGATCTCCTGGGGAGAGACCCATGACATGTGAAGAAGCCACAATGGAAGGCACAGACAGATTAAAAAAAAAAAAGATTATAAAATAATACTGTGCTTCCATTTTCCCCCTTGTATTCTCATTTAAAAACTCTCTTTCCCTTCCCTTCTCCCTCCCTTGCTCCGCTTCCTATTGGCACCTGTCCTTCTTACTTCCCAGTGTCTGCCTTCCATTTTGCTCCTCATATATTCTTGGAGTTTTTCACAGAGGAGAAATAATACAACACTTAAACTTGTGTGTCGGGTTTATTTCTCTTAAGATTATGGTTTTGAGATGCGTCCATTTCCATGGAAGTCTCAGTTTTATCCATATTATGCACAGACGCAAATTCCCCATGATGAACGTGATCATTATGTGGGGCAAGCATGCACTAATACAAAGATTAAGAAAATACTAAGCATGAGCTAACTTTTGAAAAAATGCAGACACAGAAAATCCCTGAACACATTAGATAGCCGGCCTTGGCATGCAGCATGGTAGTATAGTGGTGAGCATAGCAGCCTTCCTAAACACATTAGATGATTTTTGTGAGAGACTGGGACTAAGTTTTCTTCCTTTTCGCATTTGAAACTGCATAAAATTCCTATATTTCAATCAGAGAATATATTTTTAAAGTTTTCTTATTTCCTCTAATGTTGTTATTTAAGTACTACTGTAATATTACTATGTCACCACATGGGACAAATCTTAGCCTGGAAACTACATTAATTACTGGCCAAAAAAGGGCCTTTCATTATCTGTTTAAAGAGTCACTCATTCTCTCCCTTGGCAGTCATTCAACCAGTCAAGAGCACGGAGAGTACTATTCATCATTCTCCTTGTTATCAGTTAGGGGTGGGAGTTACAAACCCAGTCACAAGAAGATAAAGTCATTTCTATAATGACTCAAATAGTGCAACCCAGAAAGCACACATGCAGGTCTTCTTTAAGGACGTTACAGGAACAGCCAAAGCCAGAGAAGGTGAGGATGACAGTAGTGCGATGCACTCAGAAAAGACAGCAAAGGTGCTGCGGGAGGGGCTGGTGGTCCGAAAGTTGAGTGGAAAAGGGCTGGGTGCAGTGACCAGGCACGAGCAATAGAACGTGCCACTGGGCTGTGTGAGAAGGAGCTACGAAGACAGTGACTGCCGCCGCATCTAAATATTGCAGGCTTTGGTAAGGAGTTGGCTGGCTGTGACATGGAACGGACAGAAATGTGTTTGGCAAGGAAAGAGTGGGCAGCTGAGATGGGACACAGTAGAAATGGGAAGAGAAACTGGGCCGGACACCGTGTAGGGTCTCACTACACCCACCCTGGGGAAGAACGAAGCCTCTAGGAAAGAGAACTCAGCCAAACAGTTAATAAGACAACAGAAAGCCGAGAAAACAAGAAACCAGATGGCCAATGATAGGAACACAATTTATGCCCACTTTGAGAACACGAAACCAGATGGCCCGTGATGCGAACCCCACAATTTACGCCCACTTCATTTCTGTGAACTCAAAGCTGTGCTCCCATCCCCCGAGGGTGGAAACACCTTCTGTTGGAAACAACAGAACACTAAGGCTTCTCTAGTCTGATTAAATATAAAACAAAAACAAAAGTCAAATTTTACTCTGTCTTACCAAACTTTGGTGTAGTGAAAGTGAACTCCGGGCCATCCTTTCCTCCTTCATCTGTATACGCTGTCATTCGTACCATGTACAGTGTGTCGCTAGTCAGAGAGGACAACGTGTACTCTGTGTGTGAAGAATCCACGTTCACAGCTGGAAGAAATAAAAAAGTAAGTAAAATCCCTGTGCTTTATTCAGCGTTTCTGCTTCAGCAGTACTTATTTGGCATTGTGAAAATACTAATGGGGCATTTTTCTTAGAAGACAACCTTTATAATCAAACATGGTATTCTTCTGTAAGCAGAATGCAGTCCTTTTTTAATAGAGCCATGAACACAATCATAAGAAATATTCACGGTCATCTTCTCAGGATAAAACATACTATAATGAGACTTCAGGTGAGAAGTATTTAAAAACTTAGGGAAAAAACTGATTAACAACTGATGGTTTCATTACCAGTTTCATTTCCAATGATGGTTCTATAAAATATGGTGTAATTTCTGATAAATCCGTTCTGAACATCAACTGGAAGCTGGTCCCACTCTAAGACAGCTTCATTTTTCCCCACTTTTTTTGTCCGCACAGTAGGTCCTTTGGAAGGTGCTATAACAGAATAAATGTTATTTTCTAACTGAAAAGCAGTACAGCTTATTCATTCCTTAGAACACCACAACTGAACATGAAACGCATCCTTATTTCTTTTAGGCTAACCACATTATTCAAAGCCAAAGTGCGCACTTACCGGCCTGCCTGAGGTACGCCTTCGTGGCCTCGGGGGCGCCCGGCCCGCCGGCGTACACAGGTGTCACTGTGATCAGGTAGCATTTGCTCTCTGCCAGCTCCCCTGGGGCACAAATCAGAGTCAGCGCTTTTGCCCACTGAAAAATTCAAACTGCTTCCATTATTCACACTTACAGCACCACTCCACAACTCTTAGTTCTCTTTTAAAACTGCAGTTTTCTAAAGTCAGCATTGCCTTTTGTATGCTGGACTCAAGCTTAACAGTGAAACTGTTTATGAAAGCAAATGTGATTTTATTACTAATACAATGGATAAAAACATTTATATTGTTCATACAAGTAGTGATTGTGGGCTGGGGAGTGGCTCAGAACTCTAAGTGCCTGCCTGGCAAGTGCAAGGACCTAGGTTCGGTCCCTTCTACCACATGCCATGCCAGCCCCAAATCCTGGGCATACTGTGCCGGCCATGGAAAGTGGGTGTGGTGATGCACGCCTGTCATCCCAGCACTGGGGATCACTACTAGCCAAGTAGTGGAGACAGGAGGATCATTGCTTGTCTGAGCTGCATGGTGAGACCCTGCATCAAATAAGTAATAATTAAAAAAAAAAAAGGACAAAAAAAAGTGAATGCACCTATATTCAGGATATAGATATAAAACAAGATCTCAAATTATTCTGGCCTTACTTAGAAGCTGACAACGCTTCAATTCCCGCTTCTCGGAGCCTCCCTGGTGAGCAGACCACCACTAGTAAGGTTCAGGGAAATGCAGGGCTGGCCTGGTGGCCAGGACTGGGACAACCGTATGGTGTCCCTACAACTAGGACAATCATCCTGAATGCGGCATTCTTTTATTTCCAACCCTTCCAAATTATCTGTCTTCTGTTCTTTTAGCACGCACAGTGACACTACAGTAACTTTTTCTTCCTTTTATAAAGCATACTCTGTCCATCTTAGAAAAGCTGCTTTTACTACTTTACTATTCCAACAGATCGCCTATTTCCTCAGTTAATGTGCCTCTGCCCTTGTAGGAGAGTAGTGTTACCACTTCTTGATACCTTGTCAAGAATTAGCCATTTCCTACAATATCATGACTTTCTATCTGGTTAGTGCTTGCAGCCCAAAGGCAGGAGGAAGCTGCGTTCTAGCCCAGCCTCCCTGGCGCAGAGGCTGCCACCTTGACGCTCCAGGGAACTCCCTCCTCACTGGAAGGAGGAGGGCGTTAAAGGAGGAACAGAGAACACATGCAGTCAATCAGTGGCGAAGGTGAGTTCTTTCCATAGCTCTTTATTCCTCCTTTGTTCTCCTCTGGGGACAAAACAGTGCTGGGATATAAAGACAGGACTAAGCCCGCTCTGTCCATAAAGAGGCCGTGCAGTTCAGGAAGGACAGAGTGACTCGCTGAGGGTCACGCAGCAAGAATTAGTGGGGCTGTGGTAAATTGGTTCTTTTGACCACAATGTTTATAAACTAGAAAAGAAGTAGCAAAAAACCAAACCAAACCAAACCTTCTCTAATGGGTTAGAGAACGAATACCAATGCAAGCGCCTCTGGCCAGGGTTACCTCTTAAATAGGTGCGATGGGTGGTACCACTGTCTTGCTGCCAGTCAGGGGCGCAGGGCGACTTAGCTGACAACACACACCACTCGAGTATGTACTTCCGCACGGCTCTCCCTGGGGGGGTCCATTCCACCCAGAGCCTGTTGTCCTTGGGATATGCTTTAAGGCCCGTTACAGGGTGAGTAGCTTTAAAACAAGATATCAACATAATAAAAGAACATTTACACACTAAGAAGAATATATGCAGTGTATTATTTGTTGAAACTGTACTTCTGATTGGATTTGAAACTGTCTCATTGCTGTTTATCAATAAAACTTTGAAAAAAAAAATAAAAGAACATTTACAAATGCGAACTTTCAGTTTTAAAACTTGTATTTTATAGTCATTTACCAAAACCAATGATTTATCAAGTTTTGTAAGCATACAATGTGAATTTCCATAAACAGTCTGAGTTATGTCCCAGCTCCTCTCCCTAGCCTCAGCTTTTAAAAATTTTATTTTGAGATGGTCTCACTAAGTGGCTAAGGTGCTCAAAGTGGACTGACATTCAAATACTGTTTCAGCCTCCGCGAGTGCTGGGATTACAGGCATGAGCCACTTCAGGTGGTTGAGAAAACTGCTTTATAACTTGTATGAATGGTAGTTGATTTATTTTAAAAATTAAATCCTGGGGCTGGAGAGATGGCTCTGTGGTCTAAAGCACCTACTTGGAACAAGCTTGGCAAAGCACAGGGACCGCGGTTCAATCCTCCAGCACCACATGCCAGCCAGCCGCGCCCCCTGGTGGGCTGAGCTGGCCACACACACACAAAATAAATGTTAAAATAAAAAAAAAAATTAAAAAAAAAAAAAATTAAATCCTGTTTTCTCCAAATTCTTCAAAAGTTTTCATTTTGGAACAGCTATTTTGTCCGTTTTGCCAGCTATAAACAATGTACTTAAGTCACATGCCTATGAAGTTCACAAAACTTTGAAGCATATCAAAACCAGGTAAGGAATCAGAAACACTTAAGTGAATTAAGTAGCTTCCAGCAAAGCTTAGGGCCGCCACACATGGACAGAAGTATTTTGCAGATTGGTTGAGAATTGCCTGCCAATTTCTGAAACTCTACCCATCCCTGACCCTGAGGAGATAATCTTCGACTACCCGCATTTCCAGTGGGCTCCGTCCACACCCCACCATCTCTACTCATCTGACCCAGGATCCCACGGACACGCACCTTGGAAGTCACAGGCGGGGACAGTTATAACGGCAGCATCTGATCTGCCAGCCAGGTTGCGCGCCGTGAGCATTGCCACGTAGCGGTCATTTGTGAGGTCTACTGTCAAGTTTGTGGCCTTAACTGTGTAATTCTGTGAGCGTGATTTCCATCTTGTCAGAGTCACTTCATAATCCAAGATTTTCCCATTGGCTTCAGAAGGAGGCAGTGTCTGCAATGAAAGGTTTTTTTTGAAAGTTTGTTTTAAAAATTTTTACAAATCTTGGATAAATTCACAAATTCTGCCATCATGTTACACCTCTGAAAACTTACTGTGCTAAGGTACTCACCAGAGGACGAGTGACAGTGCGCCCAGCCGCGTGGGCAAGGACCACCTCCGCACCATCGCGCTGCACTGTCTGCCTGTGACGTGTGCATACGCCAGCACTTCTCTCCCTACTTTTCTTAGTTTGATCTATTCGTATATACGTGTTTATCAGCACATATATGTATATTTTTTATGTATTTAATAAAGGGTCTACAGGGTCTCACTATGTAGGTTGGACTCGTAGTGATCCTCCTGTTCTCAGCCTCCCAAGTGCTGGGATTACAGGTGCGTGCCCCCATACCCCATCTCAGTCACTGCCTCTGCGCACCCAGGGGGAGGGCCAGCACAGCAGGCCGGGCTGGAGCTGGTCCCTGTGCCTGCCTAAGCGCATGCTTTAGCCCACTGAGCTATCTGGCCAGCCCATCAGCACATATTTTGATTACCCCAAATTATTTTATCCATTATTTTCTATGAAACAGGCTGGTAAATTCAATGAAGTACAGAGCAGGGCTCTTCATATCGAATTTATGTTCTCGCAGACCCGTACTCAAAGACTTAGGCGGGACTGCCTATAGATTGGGCACCTGACCTCCTTCTAAAGCTCTGTGTTTCTATTTATTAAGTGCAGTTATTAACTGCTATGCTGATCTAACATGAATAAAAATCTAACTGTTAAAAAACCTGTCCTCACATACCATAAAAATGTATTTATATAAAAGAATATAAATGTGTTTTTTACCTTCCATATGAACTGTACAGATCTAGAGCTTGGAGTATGGGATGGTATCTTATACCAGAAACTGGGTGCTTTCGACGGTCCTACAGAAAACACAAACTTAAGTCTTCACAATACAGAAAAATCTGATAAATTTTTTTCTTAAGTTTTTCATCATGGGGAATTTGTACTTGTACATAACTTGGTTCTTTTCTCCCCCATTCCCCTACCCTCACTTCACCCCTTCTTTTCTGACTTATTTAGAAAAGCTGTTAGTTTTTTTTTCTTTTCCCTTCTTCCCTTCCCCCTCCCGCTGCCCGTTCCATATGAACAACTTCTTATTTCATAACGCCTGTTATACACTGTGGTCTTCAGTTACACTTTGTTTCCCACACCAGGGAAGTGAGGCAGTCTTTCCATGTGTCCAGTGTATTTCACTTAAGAGTGCAGGGCCACGGCGCATCTACCTAGCTAGACACGTCTCAAGCTTGTCTTCATGGCAGAGGAGGACTCCACTGTATGAAAAGCTCCTTCTTGAGACTGGGCGTGGTGACACACGCCTGGAATCCCAGCTCTGCGGAAGCTAAAACAGGAGGCTCACTACGAGTCTGAGCTGCGTAGTGAGACCCTGTACCAAACAAAAACAATTAAAACAGAAAACAAAAAACTCCATCTTGTCCATACATCAGTTGATGGGCACTTGGGCTGTTTCCAAGCTTTGACAAACTGGGACACTATAAACACAGGTGTACCTGTCTCGCTGTGGTATGATACGGTCATCTGTTCTTTATAGCAGCATTTTCCCATCCCAGGAAAACGTGCCTGGGCCTTCTTTCAGTCAGGCTGACAGCCCCATCATGTAAGTTACAACAGTATTCCTTTATTAATATTTTTGGAAACAGGGCCTCACTACATACTTCCGACTGGCCTTGCACTCACTAGCCCAGGTTGGTCTCGAATTTACGGTGACCCTCCTGCTGCAGCCTTCCGGGTACTGGGATTACAGGGGTGTGCCACCATGCCCAGCCAATTTTTTTCAAACAAGGTATTTCTATGTTGCCCAGACTGGCCCCAGATTCTTAGGCTCAAGCAATCCTCCTGCCTCAGCCTTGCATATAGCCCGTGCTACAACACCTGACAACAAATTATAATAAAACTCTTCCTAACCTCAAAATTACAAACATACAAATGTACTCTAAGCAATAACTAAGAATCTTGTGTTCTTTTAATAATCTTGTGGTGTTTATTCAATTTGGATGTAGCCTGTACTCATGCATATAACTATTTTTATCTCTGTGCTGGCGGCCTCTTCCCTAGCCTTGTCATCTACTTATTGATAGGTCAGGATTCAGAGTTTCCCAGGCACCCTGCCCCCAAACTCTCTCCTCCTGGCCCACACAGAGCCAAACCCAAAACTGCAGAACAGGTCCACCTGACTGACCTGAGGAGGCAACCATGAAACTCTCCTTTGTCGTTCAAGGTCCCCCACATACCAGGTAGCCTGCCAAGATTAGCTCTCCTTCAGCTGCTCCAGCCAGTGATCACCCTCCCTAAAAGACCCTATGAAGTCTCCTGTCTCTCCTTTGTTCACTGCTGTCTTGGTCAGCCAGCCTGCTTGATGCCCTCAATAAATCTACTCCCGTCAGAATGCCTGGTCTGGCCGATTGCGTGGGTCCGTACTAACACTTATCCTGTGTTCTATTCTGCATTTATAACTGCCTCTTAGGACCAACACTTTACTGCTTAGACTTCAGAGAAATCCTCTTTGACTGACTACAGTGTCTTGCAGTATCTTATAATAATTTTGAAAATCAGTTGACACTATTGATTTTTTAAAAGACAGGACAGGGAAGGTGGTATAGCTCAGAGGTTGAAGCTCTGGGTTTGATTCTTAGCATCACAAATAAAATAAATAAAAATTTAAAAGATAAGAAAACTTCAACATAAAGTTTTTATTTTAATAATGATAAATCAGATAAAAATCAGTTGATTCTACTTAGTGCTAAATATCAAATTGAAAAATCACACGAGTACCCGGTTACAACCCCTACGTAAGTCTCTTACTGCAGGCTGGGATGATGCACAGTGACAGGGGAGCAACGTGAAGCACCGTGCTGCAGGTGCCTTTCTCTGTAGAGGGAGTCATTCCAAGCCTGCCTGCAGTGCCTGGGGCCCTGGAGAATGCTGCATCCTACACAGACTATTTTTTCCTATACATACTCATAAAAAAAGTTTAATTCAGAAGTGTGCATAGTAAGAGATAAACAATAATAATAAAACAATAACATACCATAATAAAATGTATTTTAAGACTTGGAATTGTTTCTGGAATTTTCTTTTTTTGTTTCTAGAATTTTCCACTTCATAGTTTTGGAAGTGGAAAACAAACCACAAAATGAAACAGACAAAGAGCCAGCTATTCAGTAAGCAGGGGAAGCCTTCCATCTGCTGAAAGCTTTCCTCCAGCTGTTCGTGTTATATGCTTGCTTCTATTTGGTTCATCTGATTTAAAAAAAAATGTTTTATTTCCTTATTTATTTGGTACAGGGTCTTACTACATAGGTTGGACTCGTAGTGATTCTCCTGTCTCAGCCTCCTCAGCGCTGGGATTACAGGAACCAGCACCACGCCTGGTTTCAGTGGCCTGCACAGAATGTGGTACCGAGGACTGAACCCGGGTTCTTGCACTTGCCAGGCAGGCACTCAGACCACTGGAGCTCTCTCCCTAGCCTATGTGGTTCACCTGAAATGTCAGTTCTGGCCTAAGACATTGTATCATTTTAGCAAGGTTTGAGGGCTTGCAGATTAGCTCAGTTGTTTAAGTGCCTGCTCTGGCAAATCCAGTCAGGTGCTGGGGACCCCAGTTAGCTCCCCAGCTCCACATGCCTTACCAGACTCGCCCTTCAGGGGGCAGGAGAGGCTTTTAAGCTGTAGCTACTGCCTTGAGAACTGGTGGGACCGTGAATAGGAAAAGGCTCCAAAGTGAGTATCTGGGCTGGGGAGAGTGCTTAGCTGCACAAGCGCCTGCCTGGCAAGCACAAGGTCTTGAGTTCGACTCCTGTCTTTTTGTCTAACAAAAAAAGTATCTTATGCCACAGGACAGATAACTTTTTTATGAGTACCTAACACATGAGTGAGGTTAAGAAGTAGAAGGGCCTCTGTCAGGTAAACAGGAGGGGGCCCAGGGGAGCGGACCAGAGGGGTGAGTATGATCAAAAAGTGAATACATGTATAGGAAAATGCCACAATAAATTCAATGTTCATACACTTAATGAAAACTAATAAAATAATGAAAAACAAAATTTGATAGAAAAATAAAGAGATTTTAGTAATTTTAACTGCTTTGTGAAGTCTTACTTTAGATTATATCATTTTGTGTCTTCTGTATTCTATTCTATATATGCTCTATTATCTATAAGAGAAAAAGAAAATTAACCAAGTAACCAAATTCAGTATCATTCGTTTATCAGAGATTTATCAAGTGCTGCTGGAAAAAAAAAAAAAAAAGAATACATGTCATAACACAAATATCTTTCTGCTAGTGAGGACTCAGGGTATATTCTGTTAATTTGTGTGACTTTGATTACTCAAGTTATGAATCTGTGGGCCACCCTCCTTGAATAAAATGCTGGATTTACCAAAAGATAATTCCACTTTTTCAGATGGCTCCCAGACACCCTTCCATGATAATTAAAAAGCAAATACATATATCATTAATAATGCACTTGGATATCACAGAAGCAAGGAGGTCTGTACCAGTGGAAGCAGGCACACTCACAGGCAGGCTTCCACCTGTCCTCTCTCTGTCCACCTGCTCACTTACTAGCTTCGTACGTAGTCCCACTTGCGTATTTGCTCCAGTCGCTCCAGAAGCCCTTTCCATCTTCCTTCATACAGCGAATCCTAAACACATACTCTGTGAAAGGCTTAAGGTCCTGGACAGTGAATGAAGTTCGGGTTGTTGCTGTATCTTCAGGGGGAATCTGAAAATAAAACAAATGTACAACAACAACAACAACAACAAAATCTCCGTTATGTAAGAACTTCTAAATTGCGTACTTTTAGAAACTAATTTAATGAAACAAGACTAACAAACAATCTCTGGAGAGAAATCAATTCAAATCAATGAACAGTCAAAATCACTAAAGCTACTAGGTTTGAGAGTGAACTCAAGGCAAGAAGAGCGTGGGACTCCTCAGTCAAGCCAGTGCTGGGGTGCTGGGGATTGAAGGGGTGCTGGGGATTGGGGGCAGGCAAAACTGTTACCACCCTGAGGCTCAAGAGGAAGAAATCAGGTACCGTCAGAGGGCTACCTTAAGTGTAGAAACTCAGGACAAGAGACTTAGCCTGCTCAGAAGGAAGCAGGGAAATCAACCTGCCACCGTTTCTCTGCCACCCCTCCTCTCTCCAGCTGGGCTCCCTCAACCAATTAGCTCACAAAAAGTTAGACTTAATGGAACCCACAAATGATATCCATGTGGGTCAGTGTGACACTGCGAAGAGTAGTGGGAGGAAGGACAGAGTGTGGAACTGGACAGGGAACGGAAGCATAAAGTTAGCCCCACCAGAAAAATAACAGCTACCTGAGTAGATAAATTTGCTTTTCATAAACAAAAAAATACAGATTAATCTGATTCTAATACTCTAACATTTCAACAATAGAAACAAAACAGATATTAGGTGTTTTGTATTGCTGAATTTAGTTCTGTAAGATTAAAATGATTTTGAAGAATTTTAGGGATATGTCCTTTTTGTACTATACAAGTCACTAATTCTGTTACCTTTTCTGATTGTACTGAGTCCTTTAGAAAGCAAATAGGGAGCTCAGAAGTAGAAAGGTCTTAGGTTCAATTTCTTATATGCTCTTTATTACAACAGAGCAATAAATAGATAAATCAAAAGCATGCTGTTAGTAATCACTGCTGTCATAACAAAGAGTAACATGAGTACGTTCAACACTATGGTGACAGCTTTTAAAAGGTTCCAAGGTCTTTCTTTTGCTGATAGTTCCACATCTGGGTACATCATTCATTTCCTTTGCAAATTCCCACCAATCCCTTTCTATACCTCTGGGGTTAGCAAACTTTTTACAAAAGGCTAGATAGTATTTCGGGCTTATAGGCGGCCAGTCTCTGCTCCAATTATCTCTCAAAGCACAAAAACTGACAATATGTAAAGGAGCATGGCTAATAGTCCAATAAAACTTTATTTAAAATACAAGGTGGCAAGCTGAACTTGGCCTGATCTACCTTAATCCACATGGTCTCTACTTTTGCATCCCTACTTAACATGCTTCTTTACTGTCCATATTCCCTTCATCTCTTCATCAGGAATCGTTTTCCTTGTCACCCTGCACCACCTTTGTCTTTCCCTAGTTCCTGTTTATATAGCATTTTAGATCTAGGTGTCTTGTGGTTTGCCCTTACTGAGTATCAACAGCTTTTATATAACCTGGGACTCAGGACCTTCAACAAATGACTGAAACTTTTAGGTTAGGAGCATCAAGAAAGACTTTTTAAACAAACAGTAACTTTTAATTTACCTGGCTCCACGCTGAAGCATCTTTGGTCTTATACTGAATGTCGTATTTCAGCCTCATAACATTCGTAGCACTTGGATTGAGCCATGTTAATTTAAGGACACTGGATAGCTCCTCAGAGTTGCTCACTGATAAATTACGAGGTGGACTGGGCTTCACTGAAAAAGAAAACAAATCCTGATGTTGATTGTGTTTTACTTGTATAGCTTTATAAACAAAGTCATGTATGTACTTTTTTCTTTATTATAGTACTATATTCATTTTTTCTTACCAAATCAACTAATTTTTTTTGGAAATGACACTATGTTATTTATTACAATGGAAAAGTTTCTAAGAAAAGTTTTTCTTGTCAAGTTAGTATATTTGCTATGGTTTTTCTGGTTCAGATATTAAAAGAAAGATAAATCAAAAAAAATTTTTTTGGTCTTTTTGACACAAGTTTTACCATGCAGTTCAGGCTGGCCTTGAACTCACTTTGTAGCCCAGGCTGGCCTCAAACTCATGGTAATCCCCCTGCATCAGCCCCGAGTACTGGCATTACATGTGTGGGCTACCATGCCTGGTAATAAATCAAAACTTTAAAAAGAGAACAAAAATGGAACAAGTATAGTAAATTATAATTACAATGGTATAAAATGAGAAACAAAGTGAAAACAACTGAGAGTATGGATATATTACAGCTATTTTTTAAAAATTATATTTAATACTGATTAGATGACAAATGTTTTTCTTATATTAATTAAAATCTGGACAGCAATTTATAAACCATTGTAATAAACTCTTAGATTTGGGGTAATAGATACCTTTATCTATAGGATCAAAGTTGAGAGGATCAGATTGAACCTTTCCAAGGGCATTCTGAGCTTCTACCCAGACTTCAATGTTGACAAAATACACAGGAGCATATTCAACAAGGCATGAGCCAGGGCTGTCAGGTTTTGCTTTACAATCTTTAAACTTCTCTGTTGCCCTAAATGCAAAAATGGAAGAAGTCATTAAAACTAGGCTTTAAAAAAATGTTAAGGAAAAATAACTTGAAAAGAATTTGATGAGAAATACTATGGAAAGTTTACAGTAAATAGATTACTCAAAATATTATTTCTTAGAAGGATCATGTTTGGAAGGCCTGTCATTCTGGTCTTCTAAACATGTACTTCTTGTTACAACATATCAATTATTACCATACCGTCTCTCAAGTAAAAGTTTTTTTTTCTTTTTTTCTTCAAAAAAAGGGTAATAAGTGAAAAAAAGACGTAAGAAAAAGAAAAAAAAAGGTCACAGGTCTGTCCTGTTACAATTCTGTATATGGTTAGATTTCTAAATTTCTTTGTAAAAATATGTAAATGCTTATTTCTAGTTTTTAAAAATTATTTTTCCTTCATATTCTGTAGAGACTTAAAGTTCAACATATCAATACTTGGTAGAAAATACCTGTTCCATGATATGCCTAAGATGTTTGATATTTAGACAGATAGTTAGGGTAAACCGAACTGCATATATTGCAGGTTAACAATAAGCTTCTCTTTTGGAGGGTTAACAACCTAAGTGTGCAGATCAAAATTGGAGAAAAGTAAAGGCTGCAAGGTCAGCCAACATTTTGGCCCTAGCCTTTCAAGGTCAGTAAAGACTCAGGACATAGGAGAACCTGTAGTGTAATATCATGTAATTCAGTTGTGTCCCAAATTTTCTGATCAAGGAGATTATGGGGCCATAGAGCAACATGATCGATGACGTAAAGTGTGCCTAAGGAGAGTCACATGGAGAGAAAACATTCTTTCACAGAGAACAAATTGGTCAAGCAATGGCCATGACTCAGTCTCATGGCTGACAATGACAAAGGATCCACAAGGTGCGGTGCAGGGCTACAGGATAAATCCTGAGGGTACCTGACTGACCTTATCAGATACAAAAGTTGTATTTCTTGTTATATAGGTCTTGCTTTATCTTGGTCTTAACCGTCCAGCAGAAAAGTATAAAAATGAGGTATATAAAGTAAAGCCATATTAATACGTTGAGCTGTAAAAGGCTCAAGTCAATAACTTCTGAGGATAATCTACTACTATTATAGACTGCTGGACAGTGTTGGATTGTTTTGCTGAATTCAAGCACCTATAGTATGTAGATACCAACAGAATACCCACCTCTGACAGGACTAAACAAAAAAACGGGGATACAAAGGAAAGAACATTTTGTATTTGTATATACAAAATAGGATAGATATATAGCTACTTTCACTTAATTCAATGAGAGAAAGATGTGTACTAATAGTGTTTGGACAGGATATCCTGTCTGCTTCTTGTACTATGGATAACCAGTAAGAAGATAATAATGTACAATGTATTGATTATTGAAACTGTCCTATTAATCAGCTTTGAAACTGTCTCATTCATATTTGTTTCTCAATAAAATAAAATAAATAGTATTTCTTAAAATTAACCTTTCCTTCAAATTGAGTTTGAGCTACATCTAAAAATTATTTTCAAATTTTTAATCTAAAAATGCTGTCCTTCAGCATTTCACGCTCTAGCCCTACTGATGCATTCCTCGTGACGCTACTACCAGGCCACTTCATCCACAGAGAAATATTCCAAGGTGTCCCGCCAATGCCCGATACTTCATTTGGGATCAAACCCCTCTATTCTTTTTCCTACACATACACACCCAGGATAAAATTTAACGTACAAGTTAGGTACAACATGAGACTAACAATAAAAAACAACTTTAACAATACGCTGTAATAAAAGTTATAGGAGTGTGGTCTCTCTCAATGTGTCTGTTTTGTATCCACCTTTTTGCTCATGAATGTGAGATGAGACAGTGTCTGTGTAAGGAGATGGAGTAATGTAAGCGACAATGGCAGAAAGATGTCACTCTGATGCCACTGACCTTTTGGACAAGGAGGATCACCCGTTCAGTAAACACAGCATCACGCCATGATAGCATCTGGAGCAGATGATACTCGTGGGTGGAGATCTTTGATACTTGATTTTGGAAGAACATTTAAATCAGAAATTGTCTCTGTTTTACTCACCAAAGTGTTGTCAAAGAGGCTATAACTCTTAGGTGGTTGTAAAGGCATATATTCCCCTTGAGAAATATGTTCTGTCATTTTTATTTTATATTTTTGGTACGAAAGATTGAACTCAGGACCCTGCGCTTGCCAGGCAGGTGCTCATACCGCTGAGCTATGTCCCTGGCCCATGTTCCACAATTTAGCTAATGTCTGTGCAATTCAAACCACTACAGAATTTTCTGCAAAGTCCACACTGCCACTTCTGTTTCAATTTCTTCTTCACCTTCTTTCTCCACAGATGACTCAACAAGTACTTTCAATTACTCATCTGTTAATATTTCTCAACATCCTTTAGTATATTGTTCTTCTTCTTTAGGCATGTTGGCAAATCTTTCACTAAATTATCTCACAGCATGAAAGACTTTCCAACTTCCCTGGGAAACCTTTAACATCGTTCACAGCTCCGCTCTACAAATTCTTCAAGGCGCAGTTATACTTTCTGGTTTTCAATTCATCCATGCAGTTTTGCTGAACATTACTGCATTATCAATAGTGAATGATTTTCAACTCTGCATGATGTGCGATTGAAAACCAGATAGACTTGACAAACAAAAGCATTCTCTGGTCTATAGCTGAAGCAATGAAATTATATTTGGAGGCAAAAATACCACCTTCTCAGTTCCATTTTTGTAACAAACATTCAAAATGGCCAGATGCACTGTTTATTATTAATATGACTTTAAGTGTCAACCCTTCCTCTCCCAAGGATTTTAACTTCTGGGACAAAGAATTGAGGGAACCACTCTATAAACAATATGACTGTCATGTTTTCTGATTATGCTGCCAGAAGAAAGGCAGATAATTTTTATTTTTGATGAAAACAAATAGGTTCATCATTTATCTACTATGCTAGGCTTTTACTATATGTCCTGAAGGGTGGTCATATTGTATGAGTTAATCTGTCCTTCTGCATTTTATGCCCTGGTGGCTTCTTTGTTCCTTAGTGCACAGAGGCTTCCATGGGCATCTTCTTCCAGACAGTGTCCCTTCTCCTTGGCCAACTTCACCTCTGCTGGAAACGCGGGGGCAGCAGCTTCCCTGTCAGCACATGCAGCCCTGTCTAATCCTGAATCTGAACAAGCATCCCTCACTTATAAATGACTTGGGGTCACTTGCTGGAATTTTCTTATGGAGCAACATGTTGACGTCAATCAGAGCACTTTTTGTTCATGTCATCACGTACAAATGTAATGCCTTTCTCATCTCAGTTAAGTTTTCATTAAGCAGTGTGGCTGTAACTTTTGTGGCTGAGGTGTGAAAGCAAAACTAGCAAACCTTTAACAATTTTATAGGTAGAAAATTTGTTCTTTACTGCAGACCACAGCAGCCCAAGCACATTTTATTTCCTTTCCTTAACAGAGAACTATTTTTTCACTTAAAGGCAATATTGTTCAGTTTATTTTTGACATATCCAAATGGCCAGCATCACTTCTCTTGGGCTTGGGGGCATTATTAAGCACAGTAAGTTTTCCTTAACATAAATACTGTAAGAGCACTGAAATCCATCTGCCAACTACACAGCAACCAAGTGCCTGGCAGGCAGGGATACGCCAGAAAGGGGTGAGTCAGGCCCCGAGCAGAATGGAGCAGTCTAAGACTACACTGGGCTACTTAGAGCTGTATGTCATTTAAAACCTAGAAGTAGTTTATTTCTGGAATTCTCCATTTAATAACTGAAACCACAGATAAAAAGGAACTACTGTACTGTTTTTCTCCTTTCCTGAAATAGAGTCCTTACTATAACACTACACTTACTGCAGCGTCATTCTTTAAAACCCTTTGTGGATAAGGCTAAGCTTCCTGACAAGGAGTGTAAGGTGGGTGAAACTGAAGCTAATACACGAGTGCGATATTCTTTTGCTACAAGATGAGAGCAGATCAAGCCAGAAAACCTCCTCAGATTCTTTCTAGGTCGACTCAGGCAACTATCTTCTGATTTCTATCACCATAAATGGTCTCATTCGTACATGTATAAACAATGCCTGAATCACAACATTTGTATATACAGCTGTTTTCAAAAATAAAATACAGAAAAAAAAAAAAAGGATACTATCCAGAAGAAGGAAATAAAGCAGAAGAGGCAAGAAGAGAAACTAGACTTCTCTCAATATGTACTTTAAATATTTGACTTTGGGGGATAATTTAGCATTTTATATGATTAAGAATTTTAAAAAGCAAAAGCAAAATAAAACACATGAATTTATGTACTGAGCTGTGGCAAAGGAACTACTCCAAGTAACTAAAGCACACGGCTTCTGTGGAGAGCCATTCAGATCAATGAATGATCCTAATCCTGTTTTTAGGAGCTGCCTTGCTGGTGCTGACAGCAGGACCATTATTCAGAGGCTGTGTTCACTGTGGGCACAGGAAATGAAGACTCAGCAGCTGCTGTTGGGCACTGGGTGTTCTAGTGCAGAAGAAAGGAGAGGTAGCTTAAGTATGTAAAACAAACAAACTCACAGATCTGTTTTTAAATAAAAAATACCAGTACGAGATCCCTAACTCTTTCCATTGGAAGAGCCATCAGACACAAGGACCACCCGCAACAATGAGTTCTTTTGGTGACCAGAGTGTAGTCTCTAAGTAGTGTTTCAATTAGAGAAAACCAGAGTCCCCTGGGATATGGCTGGGCCCAGGTGTGGGGCAGAAATGTTCAGTAAGGAGACCATATACATAAGAGGAGCCTGGAAAATGATGTCCCACTGAAATCTAGTAAGCTGGATGCAGGAGGATCATCAGAAATTCAAGGCCAGGCTGGGCTATATAGTGGAACCCTGTCTCAAAAAAAAAAAAAAAAAAGAAAAGAAAAAGAAAAAGTCATTTAGAAAGCTACTCTCTATTGCAACCATGTCAAAAGGATTGCATGACCCAATCTCCCAGTGTATTGTATATTCCAG